ATGTTGTGGTTGGTGTCTGCTATCGGCCACTGGATCAGGTGAATGAGGTAGACGAGGCTTTCTTCGGACAACTGAGAGAAGCTTCCAGATCACAGGCCCTGGTTCTCATGGGGGGCTTTAATCACCCTGGTATCTGTTGGTACACCAATACAGCAGTACACAGACAATCCAGGAAGTTTTTGGAGAATATTGGAGATAACTTCTTGGTACAAGTGCTGAAGGAACCGACCAGGGGCCATGTGCAGCTTGACCTGCTGCTCACGAACAGGGAGGAATTAGTAGGGGAGGTAGAGGTTGGTGACAACCTGGGAAGTAGTGATCATGAGATGGTAGATTTCAGGATCCTGATCAAAAGAAGAAAGGAGATTAGCAAAATACAAACCCTGGACTTCAGAAGAGCAGACTTTGACTCCCTTCGAGAGTGTAGGGGTCATCACTGGTGCTGGGATTGGAGCTAATGTGGGCACAAAGCATGGTGCCATGGAGATAACATACGCCGGGAGAAGCGTTGACGTCTGTGCCATAGTCCACGTCGGCACCGGGCCCGGTATCAGTGCTGGAGTCGACACCGGGGTACCATGGCTTGCCTGAACCGGTACCCTAAACTGTGTCCCTGGCTGTGCTGGAGGCTCTAGCGGTGCTGCAGGGGTCAGATGCTGTATTGGCACCCGTGCTGCCGGGAGCGCCAATCCCGCCGTCCACACACGTGCCGCTAGCTGACCTAAAGGTGCTCCAGCCCCTGGTGTTGCTACTGTCACCCCAGGGAGCACTCCAAGCGTCGGTGTCGCTGCCTGCACTGGTGAGGCTAGAAGAGTTAGTGACGCTGCCGGCCGTGGGGGCACTACTGGCATCAGCACCTCTGCCGGCACAGGGGGCATGAGGAACGCGGGCGCCGCCATCTGGATCGGGGACACCACGGCCTGTGGTGATGCTGCCGGCACCAGGGGCATTAAGGAATCCGACGCCTCTTCTGGTGCCGGAGGCGCTACAAGCGACGGTGGTATTGATTGCGCCTGCGCTTTGATCTCCGGTGCTGCTGCCGGGTGCAGAGCAAGCGTCTCTGCTACTGCCGGCACCGGGGTTGCCGGTGTCAGAGCCAGAGGGAGTCCTAGTGCTTGAGCAAGCGTTGGTGGCGCCAGCGTTCTGGCTGGGGTCGGTGCCGAAGGGGAGAGCGGATCCAGGGATGCTGCCTGCCCCCACGCTAACCGCGCTGGCGATAAGAGGGCCTGTGTCTGAACTGGCCTGTGGACCGGGGCCCTGCTCGGCGGTACCGGGGGCGGGAGCGATGACAGGTCCGTCAACACTATCAGATCCCTCACCACGTGAAACGTGTCCAGGGTTGAGGGGCTCAAGTCTTGCAGGGTGCCCTCTGCCCCCGCAGGAACAGTGGCACTCGCAACAGTCTGTGCCTGGCTTAGTCCTCTGGGAGCCACGTGCCCCTCCTTAGGGAGCACCTTACGGCTTTCTCTGCACAGGGAGCGACCTCTCCGCTCTCTAGCTACCCCGTGAGAGGGGGACTGCAAGCGATGGCGGGAAGACTTAACTTTAGCCTTCGCCGGTGCTGAGGAAGTCTCCTGTGCCAACTGGGGGGCACTGTGCACGGAGTGGCTGCCCTCCGGTGCCAGGGGTGGAGAGAGGACTCCATTAGTACGTGGGAGTAAATAACTGCCATATGAAAATAGGTGTCCCGAAGGTCCAGAACATGCAGAGATGACATTCTACAAAATGACCATTCAGATCCCCATGTACCCTTCCTTTGGATTTGGGTACCAGAAAATACCAGGAGTAGAAGCTATGACCCTAGTGTTCCAGTGGAACCTTTTCCACTGCTCCTAAAAGCAGCAGAGTGGACCTACTCAAGAAGTAGTATCTAGTAAAAGGGATCTCTGAAGAGGGACAGGGAGGGAAGGTTGGGAGGTGGTGTGGAGAGGAACTGGATGGCATAACCCAATCTGAAGGTGCTTAGGAACCCACTGTCAGCAATGACTGAACCCCAGCATTGTGAAAGAAAACTAGCCTGTCCTCAAATTAGGGAGATGAGGAGGAAGGAGCAACAATTGAGACTGGTCAAAACCCGAACTCAATGGCTTTCTGCTGTGGAATCTATCCCTGTTTCTGGGATAGTTCCATGCCTCAGAGGAGGGAAAGGCTGGCCAGATGTGTACTGTGGACAATACTGCTGCTGGAAGCTGCAGTGGTGCCTCTACACCCCCTTTCCTTCCAAAGGACTGAAGGGTATCCCCAGAGTCCCTGAACAAGCATAGGTACCAGGGGTACAAAGCTGTAAAGTGTCCATCAATCTGTGGTGGTTCTCTCGAAAAAACTCTGCTTGCATACCAAGAAAAGCAGCTACAACACGCAAAACGTCTTGTTACACAATAAAATCCTGTACCAAAAGGGAGGATGAGCCAGGCAGCACTGCATCATCCAGAGATGAAGACAAGGCCCTTAGCTAAGCCAGAACTGGATCCGCAGGGAGAAGGACCATCAGTGCCTGGACCTGTAGTGGATCAATGGTGACCACCGCTGACTTGCTGGCAATCTCGCCTTTGAGCAAGACAAAAATGGGACCTCTGCGACAAAGGAGTGTCCCATGCATTCCACTGACATGGGTAAGACATTGGTGGCTGACAGGTGCATGGCCAAGGAACATCCTTATGATGAGGTGTGCAACAGTCCTGTTACATATAACAGTATCAGTGGTGCTCAATGCTGGTTGGGCAATGGAGAGTAGGACAATGACAACCCTGACTCACAGGAGTCTTGGGATTCTGGAGATAAGGGCAGAGCAAAATCAGAGGGACAGAGTAGATTATTTGACATTTCCACTGTCCAGAACAAGGCAGGAAACAATCCTGCTAATGGAAACAATACCACTGGTACCAAGCATGCCAGTGCTGGAAGCAGTGTCAGTCCCAAAGTGACCAGTGGTACTGGAATGCCTGACGGTAGCAATGTGAAGGGCAGTGAGAGCCAACATCTGCTGTGCTAACTGAAGCAGTGCTGAGGAGGTTCCTAGTACCAAGGTCCCACAAACCAAAACAGTACTGGCCCTACTTCCACTGTTTGTGGAAGGCAAACAAGGGTGCCGTGCCAACAGACTTGAGGGCTCGTCAGCATGTTCAATATAAGGGACTATAGTAGATACAGCCTTGCCAAAGTCCTGAACATAAGGAGACATCAGAAATTAAAGGCAGAAAGTCTGCAGCTACTTGGTATGCTGCTGCTAAGGAAAGTTGGTACTGACATCTCCTTCATCAGTACCAGACTCAATGGTACAGGGCTTTCTAACTCCCTACAAGGTACTGGAAAAGGGTTAGAAGCACCAGTTCCATGATGCTCCATGCTCCTCCTGGGGGAGGTGAAAGACACCTTGGTCTTGTGACCTTTTCCCTGGCACAGTCAACAGGGAACAACTCGTTGAAACACCTGCTCCACAGAGTGAAGTGGCAGTGCTGTTGGAGCCCAACAGCAATCTCTGATCCACTGAGGGCCTTGGAATGAAAGTAGGCTGAGTGGCCTGTTTGAGTTGGTGCTGCCTCAGGTAAAGGTCTTGAGCCACTTGAGTCAGTTTCTTCAAAAACTGGAAGATTGCACAATGCTGCTTGACATGGGCCTCCCCACATAGCAGACAATGTTTAACCCTCAGTGGGGGCATTGCTGGAGAACCACACTTGTACACAACTACTCTAATACTAAGGGTCATCTGTGATCCTTGTAATCTTGAGTGCTTAGGCGGTCATCCAAGAGAGATTCATATGCCACCGAGCTGATTAACAAAGCATCCACAGCCTCCTACAGCCAGCAGCATGTGTTTCTATTGGTAGGGCACATTTGTACATGCCTTGGTGCACAAAGCAAAATTTATTCTGCATACTGAAGGAAAAAATAGAGGAAACATTGCTATCTATATTCAAGAGAAAAATTAAACTATTTGAGAGGCTGCAATCACATAAAGCTCTGATTATGAGAGGTAAGAAGGAACTGAGAAAAGGTCAGCACAGCACTGCCTCATATAGCCAGGAGAGGGGCTACCATCCCCTACAGGTACTAGGAATGTAAGTGACTAGTCAACTATCAATAAGCATAATCTTATCAGATAGTCGAGTAGTGACTTGACTAGTTGCTCCCCCCCTTGCTGCCTCTATCAGAGAAAGGCAGCAAGGGGGTGGGGGAGCAGAAGTTGGTGCTGGGGGGGGGGAGGGACCCGGCTTAAAAGCTGGCTCCCCCCCCAGCACAATCTCTGTGGGGGGCAGGAGAGGCAGAGGCACAGTGGGGAAATAGCACTGGGCTCTTGCTACATTTCAAAAGCAGAAGCACTACAGGAAGCATGAGATGAGCAGGGACTGAAGCGCTCCTGGAAGATCAGCACCTAAATGGGAAGAGCAGGGACTGAAGCTTAAGCACCACAGTGGGAACTGGCACAAGTAGGGACTGCTTCAGTCCCTGCTCACACCATTTCACCACTGTGCTGCTCCCTCTCCTGCCTCCTGTGGCAGCAAAGGGGGAAGAGAGGGGGAAACAGGAGTTGGTGCTGGGGGGAGCCAGTTTAAAAGTCAGTTCACCCAGCACCGTCTGCGAGCTGGGACCAAGCAGTCCCAGCTCACACTGGTCCGGGACGCTGTGCCCCTGCATTTTAAATGTAGTAAGATCCCAGCGGCTCTTACTACATTTAAAATGCAGAACCTTAGAGCGGGTGGCCTCCAGAGCCAGGAATGACCAGTCCCAGCTCCTGCAGTTACCCTACTGCGGTTCTGCAGAGCAGTCCTATCAACTCATCATACAGTTGATACAAATTGTATTGGATATATGATTAGCTAGGTAACTGCAATCTGACTTTCTTAACAGGTAGTGCTAGGCAAATTTCTCCTGCTCTGGTGTGCTACGCCTGCACACATCTAAATGGAATACATGGCTACATCTACTTCAAGAAGAAGGGCTACCATCCAAAGAGAGCTTTAGACACACAGCATTGTCCAGCATTGCCATGAAGTGCTTACCTGGAGGAGAGACCACTGTATGTTGGTTCAAGTGAGGAGGAGTGCTATGCTCAGGCTGCTGGGGGAGATGAGGTGGCATCTCTGGCTGAGGAAGATGCATGATGGGCTGGGTGAAATGTGTGATAGTGTCGAACATGTTCCCTGGGAGCGGATGCTCCATGATGGGGACCTGTGCAGGTACGAAAGGAGGGGGAGAGGACTTCATCGGAGGTGGTGCTTGTTGAGGGACTGGCGGTGGAGGCGGTGGTTGCTGCGGCTGCATCTGCTGCTGCTGCACCTGCTGATGGTGGTGGTGATGATGCTAGGGAAGACAAAAACTCATGAGATCAGCACACCACTACCTCATTTAAATTTCCAGCTTTGTGTCATCTGATATGCAGGGAGGTGGCTCAGAACAATTCCAGACATCCATAATGGAGGGACTGAGCCTGTGGTCGAATATAAGCTCCTGATCTAAAAGGGAGATCTAAATAAGAAGAGTATTATTCTCCAATATCCTGTGTGCCCAGCATAGCCCAACCTCTGTGATGATTGGTCACTGAATACTGAAGACTGTAACAGTCACAGGAATTCGCTCCAGGAGAGAGGCTTCTCTATAACTCACCTTTTTTTGCTCTCGCCCAGAATGCCCTTTCTTCTTCAATTTTGGTGCCATTTCTGTGAAGAAAGGAAGAAGGGATAACACAAGAGTTAGCATTTGGTGCTGCTCTTCCAAGAATTACTGACACAAATATTGCCCATCTCTATTATAATTACGGCACTTAAAATCACAGGAAGAGTAGTGAAGTTTTAGTGCCCCCTGCAATCTGCTCTCTCTGAAGGACTCATGAAGAGCACATTTTCAGAAACAAAACCAGGCAGGTTTAAAACTTACTACAGATTCCTGAGGAAAGAGATTCAGTTCCCTTAGCCACATCTTTTCTCTTCACAAAACTAGAAAGGATCAGAACTTTCAAAACATCAATTACAATGATTTACAAAGAAATTTCTTCAAGAGTGACTAAAAGTAATTCTCCTGCCATAGGCCTTTGGCACACCGAAGTGACAGACTGTAGGAACTAGTTATGCCTAACCTATTTTAGAGTTTCATTGAAATCTCTCACCAGTTCAGTGCCACTGGTGGTAACTAAAGTGGGATGGCACAGGGCAGGGCACTGCCAGAACGTGTATCACACTGTCTTCTATACCTATTCTGACTATTGTTAGATAGCATGGTGATAAAAAATTCCAGTAGTCTATTGACAATATTTCCATTGCTACCACTGATGGAGCTGCAATGATGGAAAATCTCATAAAATACCCTAATGGAGATACAACCCGACAGGGCTGCAGAGAGCTGGCTGTGAAGTCAGTGTTTTCACAGTCCATTAGTTAGCTCAAGAGCACTTATTTGAACATTACAATGTCTGTGATGGAAAAGAGAAAAGAAATAGCAGCCATGATAAAACAGTTACTACACAGAAAGCCATCCTTCCTCTCACACTGGAGAATTAATTGTTAAGAGATTGTAGGGCCTGTTTAAGCAAGAAGAGGGCTGTAACTCACCACTTTCTATCACAGGTCACACTGGGAGTCAAAACAGAAGTAACTTCCTTCTCCACCCTGAAATAAAACTGTCTGGGACTTTCAGATGATTTCACTAAAATCCTCCCCACTGGTAAAAACTGGTTATATATTAAAACTTCTCAAGACTTCCTTTGTAGCTTACATCAGTTTATTAAAATCAACAAAAATGAAAGGCACGATATTGACCATCTCACTCAAATTTCCTCCTCTGAAGAATTCCAGCCAAACATCTGGATCAGTTCCCTTGTTTGAGTGTGTGCTCCATCATTATTTGGCATGCTTAGTGATACATGGCCAAGACTCAAGCACTGCCTTTCAACGTGGTATTAAAACAGTCTTGTACAAAATCCAGTGGCCCATTCATGCAACAGTTTTTAATTGGTAAGCAAAGTATTCCTATTTTCATGGTCATGAATCCTCATTGCAGGGTACAGGCTAATATAGTAGAATTTGTACTAGGTAGGTAAATTCAGGTCAGACTAGATGATAATTTTTGTACCTTCTGGCATTGGAATCTATACAATTTTTTTAATTTTGCAATGCCAGTACAAATTCAACCCATTTTTCAGCAACATTTAAGATGATCTAGTAAGTATTCAAACACACTTCTTATATATCTCATGCTTCCTTCGCATACATGTCTCATTGCGAGCATCCCTGTAGTATAAGGTAAATGAAGCATAATGCAAAGTATTCCTGGAGTTCCTTTCAGCCACCAAAGTCTATCATTAGAGGGATTCTCTAAGCTTTTCAGGAAGCTATATTGTTTTACCAGAGAAAAGTTCTCCAGTGTGCCCACAGACTCCCATTCAACTGTTCACATTTCCATGGCTTAGGCTGTTCTAGTAACTCTAGGAAAAAGTCCAAGCTCAGCTGCAGGTTAGAGCATGTCCAACAGAAAATGGAAGGTGTGCAGCAGAGCTCAATCATTATGGTAGAGAAGAAGCATCAACACCAATGGGCGGAGGGCCACTAGTTGTTTGGGGATAACTGTACAAATCTGACACTTTGCCAGTCTGACTCAGTAAGAATAATTACTCTGCTAAGCTAAGGCCTAGTTAAAGATGTTTCAAAAGTGCTAATAAAGCCTCAGTATGCAACATGCAGTAAGGCTCATGTACTCAATGTCCATAGAGAAGGGAATGGAACAAAAAATAAGCTGTCCTTTGCACTTTTCCTCTGAGGATATCCAAGCATTTTACAAATGAGGCCAACTATCATTCCAATTTTACAGATGGGGAAGCTAAAACATTTAGGTTTAATATATCTCTTGAAACTGTACATGTAGAGCTGGAAACTAGATCCTAGTGCAGTGCATTGTCCACTGGTCTAACATGCAAAAAACTATTATGGTTAATCTGCTAGCAAATTTTTGTTTTAGAGTAGACTGACTTAAATGAACAAAGTCATCTTAACCAGCCACTCTGACATTAATTTGCACAAATGAGAAGTGATCGGTATGGACTTGCCCCCCACACACTTTGCCCATCTGAGTAAAAAACCTAGGTAACAAGAGAGAAAGAGAGAGAGAGAGAGAGAGAGAGAGGGGGGGGCGGATAGTGAATTAACCACAGGAACACCATACCAATCAACTGAAGAAGTCACCACTAACCCACTGAAATGCAAGTAGAAAATAAAGTAACATGTAGGTCTTCAGGGAAAACATGTTTACAACTATTCACTGGGGGTATGTCTACACTACCCCGCTAGTTCGAACTAGCGGGGTAGTGTAGACATACCCTTTGCCTCAAATAAGAAGAAATTTAGCATTTACTTTTCTGCCTCTTCAAATGCACAGGAGTATTTGGCTGCTATCATTGTGGAAGGATTGGAAAGACTTTGTCCTATTAAGTTCCATATGACTAATGACCTCTCATAGCTTTCAGCATGTTAATTGGGATTTCCACCATTTTCTCTAATGCTTTTAATTTAAGAGTAAAAGCGCTTCCATAGAAAGAGCTGCACATTCCGACTCAACAACTGAGTAAAATAGAAGCCTTATACTAATCAGTTAACTAAAATCAAATGGTCACGGTGACAGCTGTCAGTCTCTGAAACAGTAAAGTATCTAAGGTCTTGTCTGTACTATGCAGAAGATTGACGCTGCCGCAGTTGATCTTCCAAGGTAGGGCTCCCCAGCCCTGCTCCTCATGAGCAGTAAGGAAAGCCGATGGAAAAGTTTGCTCCTGTCAACCTCCTGCTGTGTGGTTGATGCAAAAACGCATGTAAGTTACGTTGACCCCAGCTACATAATTAGCAGAGTGGCATATCTTAAATCAACCTTTCCCTTTAGTGTAGACCTGGCCTAAGAGATGGGTCTGCTTTCCTGTGAGCCATACTCTTTTGTGAGGGGTGTGATAACGTGCTTTGGAGCCTGTAACTGCTACATTCTTGTCCGATGTAAGTGTAATATAGCAAACAGAACTGGACTCACTTTCATATATATATTCTCCTTGCTGATCCACTTTTACCATGTCTCTGTTGCAAGAACCGTCTCATCAAGCATACTAAACTAGGAAGAAAGCTGTATGGCTGGAAAAAAGAGGTGACTTAAGGAACCAGCATTTCTGTCTTGTTCCATTTAATTCAGAAGGAAAAATTCCAATGGGAAGAAACCAAATGATAAGATACAAACAAGTGTTGGAGAAATCCAGAAAAGGAAGAGTTTTGTAGAAGGACACCACCACTTGAGTGTAAAAGCAAGGAAAATTATGAAATATTTGATCTTTGCAAATCCATGGGATTTGAAAGAATTTCTGACAAATTGCAGATAAGCTGCATAATTAAGTATACACAGAAGGTGCATGATAAATATTATCAGTGAAAAGGCAATTAAGCCAGTTTCACACCTGCATGAGTGGGACAGGAAATAGGAGATTACACATACCCAGTCCACAGTTTAAGCCATGTTTAACATAACATTTTTCATTTGTACTTGATATCAGAGATCTCTCACTTTATGTAGCTGATCAATATGTATATGCTTCAGAAATGTAAAGGTGTAAAAAAGAGGGACTATCAGATATGTTATATAAGGCTGTGTGCAAGTGTCAATCCTGAAAAGCAGTCACAAAGGTACCAAGCCATGTCAAACTGGCATGATTACTGCTGGTGTCACTCTGCCCTAGCTGCTTCTTTGTATAGGAGTTTGCTCTCACTCAGATAGGCCTCAGAGACATGATGGCTAGCTCCTAATCAAGCACCTCAGAAATGTACATCTGCTTTACTGGTGTACATATGTCTTGTGTTGATATTGTCCTTAGTTTAAACTGAATTATTGACAAACTATCACGTTTAGACAAGATTCTGGACCATTCTTTGCACAAAAGTAAGAACAATAGTGTGGCTTGTTTGACAAGAAGCCCCATCCACTTTATACTGCTCTAAGCAAAAGGTTATGCTTCTCCTGGTTTATTTGGATCAACAGTTCGATTTAATATTGGAATCACCCATGAGACTATGGGATTGAAAAAGCTATGGACACAGCTTCATTACAGCCAGTCACAGTACACTAACCATCTGGCCATTTAACTAACTGAATTTTCCAGAAATCTAAGAATAGTCAAACAGAAGACAGCTATAAAACATGGCCCAGAAATTTACTTTTCTAAGCTTTAAGTGCAGTTTCACAGAATAATCACGTCTTATTCTGATTAGCCCTGGAGAGTCAACACAGCCAAGAATGACTGAGCTGCTGATTCAATTTCATGTGTATCTACAAAATTGCTTAAATTCCAATCAGTGTTACACCTATGGCAGTCCATTAAACACAATAGAATTTCCAAATGAATTAAACCTGGTTCATAGAACTATGATGATGATTGAAATGTGATATGAAGAGAATCAAGTTTTTAGCTCTTAGAGCTTGACTGAGATCCAGGTAGTTAGAAAAAAGTTCTACTTGTGCACAGAGCACATCCGATACAGAAATCAAGATATAATAAAAAGGGGATTCTACAAGTCTACATTCTCACATTCATTTTTTCAGAATAAAAATGCTAAGATCAGAGCCCAGTTTCCAATAAGCGAAGCTTCTGCTTGCAATAAACCTCTTCTGTCAAATAGCTTCCTTCTCTGGAAGGTTCTAGATT